ATAAGATTTCGTTGGCTAAAGAAAAATCGCCTATTTATGCATTTTCTAGCAACCTCAAATACTTTTAATGAATATATTCAACCTAAAATCAGAGACTAAGTTGTCAGTTTATTCTCAGCAGTAAGCATAGCAATACATAGAGATATCAAAGAATAATAATCATATTTGTGTCTAGCTCATTGATCCATGATCCCTAACACCCTAAACTTAACAAGCGAGTACTCAACCATGAACAAAGAAATCACAGAGCTAATAGATGAAGAAAACATGCTGAATCAATAAATAATAAGAAATAGGGTTTAGAAATATTCTCCAAAGGCTGTAGAGATTCTTCTCCCTCAAGGTTATAAATTATTAATCTCTCTCAAAACTAGAGTGGTTTGTAAAACATAATAAGAAAAAATATATTGCAGGTCTCTCGCGGCTGCATGAAGAAAAGGAGAAAACCAAGGTAAACCCCAAAATATTAGAAGTTTCCTTAAAAATCTCGGCCGCTGGAACCTGCACTTTGGGTTGCTCTACTTAATCGGGAACATGCCAATCAAACTGTTCTACGTGAAAATCACCAAATTGCACTATTTTCTACCTCTTTTTCTCCAAATGATCCATCTTCCATCCAATGCAACTAGACATGTAATGACTTGAAAATGACTAGAAAGATTCGATGAAGACTCAAAAACACTTTAGAAAACATTGTTAGAATGCCCCAAAAACACAACATATGAGTTACTTTTGCATTGATTTGAGTTAGGGTACAATTTTGCATTTAAAATCAAGTTTTGAGTCATATTTGGCAAATTCCACTAGTATAATATATTCAAATCATTTTATAATTTCATTAATACGAACTATACTATTTAGCATGATTTTTTTCTATTTGTATGAAAACATTGTGGATGTTAAGCATGTAAACACATTATAATTTCTAATATAAGTTGATATTTGATAGTTTTGTTATATATACTATTCTATTTAGTTTATTCCATACCATTAAGTTTGTTATAGCATATTTATTTATTTTTCGGCGTGGTAATCAATACCGCCGTACATTAATATGTTGATGTTTTATTTTTCTTGTGTAATTGGAAACCGACTTAAAAGAAGGACAAAACCGGGAAAGAATGGACAAATGCGATGACATCTAATTAGGTCAAAATCAATGCTATATTCTTAATTTTATCTTCAAATTTGGATATTTCACAAATTAACCCTATTTTATATAGTACAGATAAACTATTATATTGTTTATTTTTGGCAGATCATAGGTTTGTTTTCATTTGATCTTCTCATCTCTCAACACCAAATTATTGGCATGCACTTCTATTCTAAACCAAAACAAATAAATATACTTTCACTACAAGAAATATTGGCTTTGATAGCAGAGAAGGATAGCGTTTTCTACCTTTCTGCTATGGTTGACATATCCGTTAGTTTTAGATAGCGTTTGTATATTTAGAAGCGCTATGATTGAGTAGTATATTTTGAAACGCTATGATATCATATGTTTGATAGCAAAAACAATTTAAACGCTATGTTTAGGTTTTTAAATCCCTAAACCCTAAACAAGTTATTAAACACTAAACTATAAATATAAATTTTAAAACTCTTATATTTTTGTAGTATAACTTGAAATCTTGATTTTGAACTCAAGTTTGATATGCTATGTTTGGCTTTTTCAATCTCTATACCCTATACATTAATCTCAAATCTTAGATCAATACATCAAACCCTTAACTTTCAAACACTATACTCAAACTTTTATTCTAAACTCCAAACTTTAAATTAAAACTTTTCAAACTTAATACTTCAAGTCTTAAATTATAAGTCATAAGAATATTAAATTTATTAAAATATGTACTGTATAATTATATATAAATTTTAAATTTTGGACATATTTACTTTACATAAACGCATTTTTTATAAAATTTCTTATAAAAATAAAATCTAATTACTTTGTTAAATTTATATATGATTGAGTTTATAAATATAAATGAAAATTTAATTTTGTATAAAAAAACTAGTTAAACAATCAAATTATAATATTTAAACAATTATTGTTGACAAAAAAAATAACAATGATTAAATGAAAACAACTTTTGGTTGCTTAGTTTTTGACCATTGATGTTTTTAATCCAATAGCTATAAATCATTTTTTGTTAATCCTCTTCCTTCTTTGTCATTGGCCAAATCCTTATGCACATGGATAACTTTTTCATCGATTGGATGAAACCTAATCCAACGGTGCAGATTTATTCATTTCTCTTTCGCCCTAGCAGATCTCTCATCCTTTTTCAATCTCTCATTTTCCTATCTTCTACACAGGATCTCTTTTTCGCTTCAATCCTTTAATTTTTTTTAATGGTTTCTAAAGATCGATGGGACTGGAAGCTCATCTCCTCATCTCCGATGGTAGAGCTCTAGGTCTGTCTCCTCATCTCCCTTCTCCTGGTTGAAGCTCAATGTCTGTCATCTTCACGGGGGAGACGAGACGACGAGAGGGGCATCCCATCTACTATGTTCTCTCTCTCTATCTCTCTCTCTCTCACACACACACACACACACACACACACGTTTTTATTCTGATTTTGTGTTTTGTTCTTAGTAAAGAAGCTTATTGGTGGAGGCTGAAGAAGCTTGATGGTGGTGGTCTCTGCATTAACAGTGGTGGTTGATTGCGGTGGACGAAGCTGAAGAAGCTTGATGGAGGCCTCCACAACCTTCGGATCCAACGAGAACAAGCTATTCCTCTGTAAAATCGAGTTCTCCCATTCCTAATGTTTGCTAGGTTGCTGATTAAATGGCTGCGACGAAGGAGGTGGTCTCATCGTAAAAGTGGTGGTTGAAGGCGGCGTGTTTTTTTTGTTATTAGGTTTAGGTTTAAGTTTATTTTAGGCCGTTGGTTTAGGTTCTTGGTTTAGTACTTTATTATCTAATTAGATTTACTTTTAATTTGTAATCATATATTTTTGTTAACCAGTTTAATTATATTTAAATAACAAAAAGTTAGATCAGTTGTAATTTATAATTCAATCTAATTTATAAATTATAATTTTGATATATTACATTTTCTAATTTAAATATATATATATATATATATATATATATATATTTTAATTTTTAATAATATAAATAATAACAAAAAATAAATGCTATCAAAGACTGTTTAATTGCATACAAGAAAACGCTATAATATATGACAATAAGATAGCAACGCAAAAAACCGCTATATAAAATGCTTGATCTACTATGACGGGCGATGATACAGCGCTTCATAAACCGCTATTGTATCGATAGATAGCGTTTTTCGTCCGCTAATAAAAGTCATTTTTCTTGTAGTGTTTTAGATATAGTTATACTAGATCTCAAAAAAAAACTATTACTTTTTTAAAAATAAAGATAATTCATTTATGAGTATAAAATAAAGAATATAATAGTTTATTTTTACTATATAAATGTAAATAATAGAATCATATGTTTACATATAATTTTCTAAAAAAATATTATCTTATCAAGTTGTATCATATATTTAACCGCTCCAACTTGGAACTGGAAAAAAAAATTTTAATGGTGTTTATAAATTATCAAGCAACAATTAATTTTTGGAGTTTCTACTATATTAGCTAAGTTTTGTATGAGCATTTGTATACTCTTTAATTGTGTCATTCTTCAAAAGTGACTGCATGATTTATCACATTTTCTGTAAAGTAACAGCAATATGTACCATACCAGAAGAAAAATGAAAAATTGGAAAATACATATATATGGATATATATTTTGAAAATTTCACCAACTTTTTTTTTGAAAAAAACACTTCTCAGATGTGAAATGACTATATTATCCAAGTTTAATATTTATAGTATCTAATTTAATATATTAATGTAGAACAGAAAATACACATGTAAAAAATATGAAAACCAAATTACCAACAATGCTTCGTCAAGCACTTTCTTATTCATAGGATATAACCTTTTAAAAATAAAAACTGTCAATGACTTTACCAAAACAACTAATGATGTCTTATCCTAAATTGAGTTTTTTCTCTTGTTTTCATATACGACATACAGTGAAACCTGTATAAATTAATAATGTTGAGACTACACTAAAACTATAAATTTATATTAATTTATAGAGATTATTAATTTATCGATATACTAAATGAACCAAAATTTCAATTTGGGACTATAAAATTGTATTAATTTATAGAGATTTTTAATGTATATTAATTTATCAATTATTAATTTATATAGGTTCTACTGTACATACATGAAACAATACAAACACATTGCTATTATTTTATTTATAAAAAAAACAACAATCCAGCAAAAATCAAAGAGTGTATTAATATATTTCTCATATCTTTGTTACATTTTTTAACTGAAAATATATGCTAGAAATTTTCTTAGCACATAGCCCCGAACACAGAAAGACTCTTGTAGATAATTTGATGTAGCATTTCCATTCATAAAATGTTGAAATGTCAGCTTTTATGATGTGAAAAGAACGAACACCTAAAACAATATATTTAATCTATTTTTTTGCTACTGTGAAAATACCAAATGGTAAAAATTTCAATAACAAGGACATAAAATCTTTACAAAATAATAATCATGGCATATAATCTAGATTTGCATAATTATAATAATCTTGATAATAATTAAAAATTTAAGTTAGTTATTACAATTTGTATATTTTTATCAAATTGGGATAAAAATCTATTTTTAAAGACAAGAAAGTGTAGTTCAAAAAAATAAAAAACATATGTATTTTTCAGAAACACGTATTTGCCATATATAAAGACATTGACTGAATTTTCATCTACGATAATTTGAAAAATATCTTATTTATGCTTTAGATTTTGAAATCAAAACATGTATTTCCATGCCAAGATGAACATGCATGTTAATATAGAGAATTGCAATAAAGAAGCTTCTGAATACAATATTTTGATTATAACCTTTGTGGAAACGTTTTCTTATATTATCAAAACTTCAACAATCAGACTATGAAGAAAGCATATGACCAATGATTTTTTCCATGGCCGCCAAAACATTCGTCTCTCTGTTTTTCTTAATCATCGGATTGATATTATAACCGGGTACTTTAAAATCTGTCTTACATATACCAACAGCATAGGAAACCTCATCCATGTGTGGAATGATCTCAGCATACTGTTCATAGTTAAAGAGAGATACCGCATTCGTGAACGATGCGTTCACAATAGTGTAAGTTTCAAGACACTTTTTTAGACTAGCCTCGCTTCCACCATTTATAAGGATCATGCTGAATATGAAGGAATAGGTATCGGCCGATCTTATTTCAGCTTCTGTCACTGTCACTTTCAAGAGATCTTTCATGCTTGGGGAAGTAGCCTTGGCAAGGATCCCATTGCAGAAACTTTTGTCTATTGTCTGTTTACAGATTGCGTCGAATGTTTGTAGAGTGTTTGCTTCGGCGACTGAGCAAGCGAGTGTAATCGCCAAAAATATCAAAAGAATGCGAGACATTTTCATTTGCTTTTTTTGTGAGTTATGAGTCTGTGGTGGTTTGAGAATGATTCCGATGATATCTTTTATATTTGAAAATTAGGCATCTTAATTAATTAGTCTAAAGTCAAAGTCAAATAGAATTTTTGTATGGGTTCGTATCTCTATTTTTATGGGTGCATATCTATATGTTAGCTAAGTTTATGTGAGCGTTTGTATACTCTTAGTTGCGTGTTGTGTCATTTTGCAAAAGTGATTGAATGATTTACAACCAATTCTGTAATATTGCAGTAATATTACCATATCAGAAGAAAATTCAGTCAGTGTCGTGATATATCGTATACAACACATAAAAGAATACCAAACCGAAGAAGATTTTGTTTGACTACGTAAATGATTGCAGACTGAAGCTAAAGTCTTACATGGAATTTCACTTTGGTAAGTTTTTACTGATTAGTTATCCACAGAGGTGTGGACCTCAAAAAGATAAAATAAAAATAGATTATTCGAGTAGGAATAAAGGAGTAAAAGCAAAAGGGAAAGAGAAATATATATATATATATATATATATATATAGTACATGAATTTAATAATATTTAGTCAAAAATATAACAAAACCATTATACACATTGTTAAATAGTCTTAAAATGAAAATTTCTAATCATTTATATTTTATAATTTATAATTTATATTGTTTGGTATGATTTTTATTTATTAAAAACAGAGAAAATAAAACTATGTTTTTAGTGGAATTATATCCGAAATGTAGAGTAAATTATATTAAAGTGGCTAGCCGTATCTTATTTAATTAAATATTTTTTAAACTATGTGTTATTGAGTTTGTGATTTGATAAGATATTTTAATAATTGCACTATATGAGATTTGTTATGTTTATTGTGTTATTGTGGAGTTCCTAAATATTAATTATAACTAGATTTTGACCCGCGCTTAAGAAGCGCGGATTTTTTTTTGTTAACCGTAAAGCCAAATATTTCGGAATAGATATTTTGATTAGTTTTGATGGTGTTTTTAAATTTGATTGAGTTGATGGTAAAAGGGGTTCGAGATACCTTGTATTTATAAAATGTGAGGGTTGTTGTTCTATTATTTTATTTCAGTCTTGTAA